TGAGCCTTATAATTAGCGTTTATCCCCTGGAGGTCACGGTGCTCCTCCCGGTCACCGGGGGTGGGCTGGAGCCCCCCGCTCCTGCACCGGTGTACCGAGGCCTCGGGACGGAGCTGCGGAACGACTTTGTTCTGCTGCCAAGGGGTCAGTGACAGGAATAGCTCCGAAATCCCCCGGCAGGGAACGCGTTCCTTGGGAATGGGACAGGAGGAGAGGGCAGGAGTCTGTCTGTCTGTCTGTCTGTCTGTCTGTCTGCCAGGCCCGGTGTCCCCGGGGTCACGGTTTGAATGATCCCTCCTGGGGTCCCATCTCAGCCTGGCACCGATGCTGGCCCGACACGGGTCACTGTCCCGAGGTCGCTGTCCCCTGTGACCCTCCCTCCAGGCTGGCACTGGGCGGAGGTGGCAGTGCCAGGGCAGACGTGGCACTGCCCGGTGCCAGGGCAGCCTCAAACAGCCCTGAAGGCTTCAGGAGCAGAGCTAAGTGTGGCTCAGCCTGTTCCCTTCCCAGCCACGGCGCTCGGGGGTGCTCCCTCTGGGTTTTGACATCTCTTTTGGGGCTGTGTCGGCTCCAGGGAGTGCCCGGCTCGCAGCTGTGTACTCAAACCCTCGAGCTGGGGCCGGTGTAAGGTGACTCCCTCTGTTTATTCAGGTTTTTGTAACCGTCTTTGTATCACAACTTGATCCGCCAGCCCTGGTTGCTGGCTGTGGCAGGTTGGGTTACTGCTCCCCACCCGTCCTCTGGGCATTGCCTTGATACCTGAGTCTCTTTTATTCTTTCCAAGCCCACCTTTGCCACGGTTTTCTCTCCGGTGGTTGTTTATTTTTTACCCCCCACCAGCAGCTAAGATTGTATCACTGCCCCCGTGCAGGAAAAGGGGAAAAAAATCAAGGTTTTGGCGAGGGTGACTAGCTGGCTGTTAGCCCAGGCTGCAATCGGACAGCACAACCTGCTCTGCCCTGTGCCCAGATCAGCTCTGCCAGCACCTGATTGCAGGACTGGGGCTCCCATAAATGCTGGAAAGGAGGGGACACGGTGGGGACAGGGCCCTGTGGATGGAGCAAGGCTGTGAGGGTGTTCACAGGGGTTCTTGGGTGAGGGAAGAGATGAGGATCTGACTCCATGTTTCAGAAGGCTTGATTTATTATTTTATAATAAATTTATTTTATGGATATATATTATATTATGGATAAATAAATTTATTTTGTGGATATATATTACATTAAAACTATGCTAAAAGAATAGAAGAAAAAGTTTCATCAGAAAGCTAGCTAAGGATAGAATAGAAAGGAATGATAACAAAGCTAGCTAAGGATAGAATAGAAAGGAATGATAACAAAGGTTTGTGGCTCGGACAGAGAGCTCAGCTAGCTGGGCTGTGGTTTGCCATTAATTACAAACAACTCTATGAGACCAATCACAGATCTACCTGTTGCATTCCACAGCAGCACATAATCTTGTTTACATTTTGTTCCTGAGGCCTCTCAGCTTCTCAGGAGGAAAAAAGTCCTAAGGAAAGGATTTTCATGAAAAGATGTCTGCGACACGAGGCTGTGGCAGTGGAAGCAGTGGTCACTCTGGGCAGCTCCTGGTCCTGGATGGACACTCCTGGGGGTTCTTTCAGGGGTGTTGATTTTCTCCCCCACCTTGTGCTGTGTTAAAGGAAACCCACACGACCCTGAGGGGAAGTGAAGGCAGTGAAACTTCCTGTCTTTGGTGTTTGGTAAACTTTGAAACCCGAGCAGTTGCGTTCAGCACAGCGCTCGTGGAGTGGCTTCATTTTCCCATAAAACACCTCAGTTTTGTGGTCATTCCTCAGCTGTGCCTGTGACCAAGCAACACCCTGACTGTGTGGTGAGCAGAGCACCTTTGGGTGCCCCCAGGAGCTGGCAGTGCCAGGCTGGGGTGCTGTTCCTGCAGGTGGCAGGGTCGGTGCCAACCCGCTCACGACCATGGTGAGCGTGAGGGGATGGATCCATTGCTTTGCTTCCTGGTGAGCAGGGACAGATCCATCGCTTTGCTTCCTGTGTGGCACACTTAATTGCCCAGGTTAATCACCCAGGTTAATTACCTGGCCCTCCCAGTGCTGACACACAGCTGCTTAGAGCTTGGAGGTCACGGTGACCCGAGGGAGAAGGAGGATGTGTTGCTGTAACAATGGTGCTGATGCTCCGGTGCCCCATCCCGCTGCTGTGGCTGCCCCAGCGCCCTTAGCTGGGCTCACCCCTGCTGCTGTGCCCCCCAGGAGGATCGAGGACTGCCTGCCCCTGCTGCAGGACTCCCCCTCCAAGCGTTTCTCTCCGTCCAAGAGGAAGCAGTACTACATCAACAAAGCCATCCGCAACTCCGACCTCATCCCCAGGGCCAAGGGCCGCAAGAGCCTCCAGAGGCTGGAGAACAGTAAGCACCAGCAGGGTTTCTCCCCCAGGGCAACCCCTGAGCTGTTCTGGGGGCAAGGAGCCTCTCTGGAGGTGCTTTTCCCCCCTCTGAGGCTTTGCTCTTGGCCCCAGCTCGTTACCTGATGACGCTTCTGGAGCAGGATGACTGCGGAAGCGACGAGGGAGAGCTCAGCCACTCTGCCACCCCCAGCATCTTCACTGAGGCCTGCAACAACGAGACCTATGTGGAGGTGGGTGCAGCCACCCCGCTGCCTTGGGGACACTGGATTGGTGTGTCATGCTTGTAGTTCACTCCTCCATCCATCCCTGTGCCCTGAGCTGCTGCACGGCAGATTCTGCCTGGTTTGGTGTCAGGATGGGATCTGTGTGTGCTGGGGGATGATGGGCTCCTGGCATCCCTGGAATGGGGGAATTTCCAGGCAGATGCTCTCATGGAGAGTTGTGGCTGCAGGGCAGTGAGTGCCTCGTGAGCTGCAGCACTTCCTCCTGCACCAAGCCCCTTGCCAAACCCCCATTGCCTCACACTGGATATTTTGAAACATGGCCTCTCCCTGATGTGACAGGGCCACACTCAGGGCCATCCCTGGGGATCAGAGGGTGAGGAGGGGGCTCATGGGGTGTGGGAAGGGGCCCTGGGTGGCCGTGCACCCCCCAGACCTCTGTAGTGGGGCTTGGTGGCTTCTCTTGTCAGATCTGGAACGACTTCATGAACCGCTCGGGAGAGGAGCAGGAGAGGGTCCTGCTCTACCTGGAGGAGGAGGCCAGGAAGAAGCACAGGAGGAAGCTGCCTGTCAAGAATGAGGACAAGTGGAAAGGTGCTGGGAGGGGAACCAGGGTGGGGACAGCCTCTCCCTTTCCTTCCTTGTGTACATTCTGGGAGGGCTGCACCCACTCCCTGTCTGTGGTGGGGCCAGGGGATCCCTGAGCTCACCCTATGGGTGTGGCAATGGGGGGGTTATGCCTGTAGACCCCCAGCATGGACCTGGGAGGGTTTTTGGGAGCCAGAAGTGGCTGGGATGATGGGCACAGCCACCCCCAAACCCCCTGTGCTGGGGAGGGCATTGCTGTTTTAGGGGTGACTGTAAAGAGAGCAGCTAGGGGGACACTGACTGCTCCCAAAAAGCGACACTGCAGGCTCTGGAGTTGTGTTAGCTGTGCCTAAATCCCTTTTCCTTCCAGCAGAGCTCCCTGCCTACACCCCCCAGGAGTGCTTCCAGCGCATCAGCCGCCGCCTGCGTGCCACCCTGAAGAGGGGCAGGATCCCCATGGTGAGCTGGGGACAGCCTGGCACAGCAGGGGTCTCTGGGGTGTTTGAATTATTACCAATAAAATATAGATATATAAATAAAAAATATATAAATATTACATATAAATATTATATAATGTATAAATAAAATATATATTATATATAACATTTTATATATAATATATAATGTGTTATATATAATGTATTATATATAAATATTTATTATATATAAAAATATATATAGAGAGAGATATATTTAAATATATATATATAATGTAGTATATAGCATATAGTATATATTATATAGTATAGTAGGACAGGACGTGCCTGAGCTTGTCTGGCCCTTGCTGCTTGACCAAATAGTGGCACTGTGGTGTTTTCACCCCGCAGACACTTTTGGCTGGCTGGGTGTGTGGTGATTTCACCCCATTTTTGGCTGTGGCATGTGTGGTGTTTCACCTCAGAGACACTTGGATGTGTGGTGATTCCACCCCAAAAACATCTTTGGCTAGCTGCATGTGTGGTGTTTCACCCACAGAGACTTTTGGCTGGCTGGATCACCCCAGAAACAATTTTGGCTGTGGCATGTGTGGTGTTTCACCCCACAGACACTTTTGGCTGTGGGTGTGTGGTGTTTCACCCCACAGACACTTGTGGCCGGCTGGGTGTGTGGTGTTTCACCCCACAGACACTTTTGGCTGTGGGGTGTATGGTGTTTTACCCCATTTTTGGCTGGCTGGGTGTGTGGTGTTTCACCCCACAGACACTTTTGGCTGGCTGGGTGCTGCAGCTGGGCCCGTGGGGACAATTCCAGGCCTGCAGGAGCTCTGGTGGTTCTGGGATAGAGCTTCCCCCCATAACAGGAGCTTCTCCTCAGGTTTCCCTCTGTGGAGAAGCTTTAAGGTGATGGTGAAGGAAAGGAGTCGGTTCTGATGGAGGGTTTGGATCCAGAGCTTTATTCTGGCCCACAGGCCTCTGAATGCAGCACCAGCTCCAACAGAACTCCCTGAGCCCGTGGTTGCTGCTCCTTTAACCCCGGGGAGAGGGGCAGGGAGCCACCAAGCAGGGACAGGAGGGGAGGGACAAAGGGACAAAGGACACCTGGATGGCCCAATGCCCCCCCAGGGGTAGAGGGCATCCTTTGAAAGTGGCTGTCTGGAATTCCAGGATTGACAGACAGTGTTCTGAGGGGAGAGGTGTCTGACACACCTGGGAGGGAATTATGAGGGAGAAACCCAGAATATCTGAGGCAAACCATGACTTGACAACAGTGGGGGCAGCCAGGGGTCCCTGAACAGCCCAGAGCTGTGCCCTGACCTTGTGCCACATTTCAGAGCAGCTCCTGGGAACGTGCTCGTGCTGCAGACACACATCCAGCTCCCAGCACATGGGCTTTTCCTGGCTCAGTTCAGATTTTTCTGGCGCTTACAGGGCTTTTTTTAGTGGTTGTTTCCCAGTTTCTGTGCAGTGACAGCAGGTGACAGGTGAAACTGGGCATGGGGACCGCAGTACAGCCTTTGGGGTTTTCACAGTGACCCACACAAGGTTATTTGGGGCAGCTCTGATGTATTTTGAAAGGGGATTAAAGTGCCCCTGGAAGGAGAGAGATAATGTGACCGTGTTCACAGGGGTCTTAGGATGAGGGAAGAGATGAGGATCTGACTCCATGTTTCAGAAAGCTTGATTTATTATTTTGTTATATGTATTACATTAAAACTATACTAAAAGAATAGAAGAAAAGGTTTAATGAGGAGGCTTAGATAAGAATAGAATAGAATCAGAAAGAATGATAACAAAGGTTTTGTGGCTCGGCTCTCTGTCTGAGCTAGCTAGGCTGTGATTGGCCATTAATTAGAAACAACCAACATGGGCCAATCACAGATGCACCTGTTGTATTCCACAGCAGCAGATAATCAATGTTCACATTTTGTTTTCCTGAGGCCTCTCAGCTTCTCAGGAGGAAAGAAATCCTAAAGAAAGGATTTTTCATAAAAAGATGTCTGCGACAAGGTGAAATTTGGGGCAACTCTGATGTATTTTGAAAGGGGGTAAAAGGAGGGAGGTGAGAGCAGCCCTGCACTTGCTCTGCCAGCCCTGGGGGTGCTGCCTCCCTGCTCCCTCTGCTCTCTGGGGCTCTGTTTGTTTTGCCCTGGTGCTAATTAGAGCCTCTCAATGCAGCCTGGGCTCCTTTTTGTTTGCCTTCAGTGTGCTGCTCTGTGTCTCTGGGCTCACTGAGCTTTGGCTGTTGGCTGTGAGCACCAGGAATGGTGCCAGCCCTTGGCACACACAGTTGGCAGGAGCTGGATCCTTCCCTGCCCCAGGAGCTGGAGATGGGAGATTCCTCCTCCTCCTGCTGTCTGCCATCCAATTAATTTGCCCAGGAGCTGCTGGCAGTAAATCTTGGGGAATCAGTTGTGCCATCACTGTCCTTTCCTCACTGAATTCCTGTCTCTCCTCACAGGGGACTCTGGAAGGGCTGGAGGAGGAGCTGCTGGCCTTCTTCTCTGTCACCCCTCAATCTGTGTACACAGCACTGATGGATAACAGGTATTTCCCCATCTCTGGGGTTCCCCAGGCTGCAGAGGGGATTTGGGAGCACGGGACACCCACCTGGCCTGTTCTGTGTGTCCCCAGGGTGGAGGGCAGGGCAGGCACACACAGCTCAGGCTCTAACTAACCCTGTCCCCTCTCCCCCAGCTTTGAGAGGCTCCTGCTCCACGCCCTCTGCCAGTACATGGATCTCGTCTCTGCCAGTAAGAGCCCCGTGTCTGCTTGGTTTTAGTTTTGATTTTCACTTTGTTGATGTTGTTTTTCCCCTTTGCCTCCATCACTATCTTTTCCTCCCTTCCTCCTCTGGGCCCCGCCTTGCCCTGGGGCTCAGAGATAACCCCACGTCCCTTCTGCTTCTTCCCCAGCAATGCCCTGAGCTCTCTGGGCAGCCCCAGTTGTCACCAAGCTCAGCCAGACCCGGCACTGAGGGCAAATTTGGGTGGTCCAGAGCTAGAATCTGCTCACGGGGTTCCTTCTCCTGCAGCTGCTTCCTCCTCCCAAGGATCAACCGTGCCATTCTGGGCATCCCCAAAGGTTTTGTTGCCAAGGCAGGGATGGAATAAGGCTCCATCCCTCCAGAGGAGGCTCTGCTGTTTCATTAGGAGCCAATTGTGGCAATCAGCCTGTGCACTAATGATGGGGAGAGTGAGCCCCAGGATGGAGGGGACAGAAAACAGAGNCAGCCCTGGGGGTGCTGCCTCCCTGCTCCCTCTGCTCTCTGGGGCTCTGTTTGTTTTGCCCTGGTGCTAATTAGAGCCTCTCAATGCAGCCTGGGCTCCTTTTTGTTTGCCTTCAGTGTGCTGCTCTGTGTCTCTGGGCTCACTGAGCTTTGGCTGTTGGCTGTGAGCACCAGGAATGGTGCCAGCCCTTGGCACACACAGTTGGCAGGAGCTGGATCCTTCCCTGCCCCAGGAGCTGGAGATGGGAGATTCCTCCTCCTCCTGCTGTCTGCCATCCAATTAATTTGCCCAGGAGCTGCTGGCAGTAAATCTTGGGGAATCAGTTGTGCCATCACTGTCCTTTCCTCACTGAATTCCTGTCTCTCCTCACAGGGGACTCTGGAAGGGCTGGAGGAGGAGCTGCTGGCCTTCTTCTCTGTCACCCCTCAATCTGTGTACACAGCACTGATGGATAACAGGTATTTCCCCATCTCTGGGGTTCCCCAGGCTGCAGAGGGGATTTGGGAGCACGGGACACCCACCTGGCCTGTTCTGTGTGTCCCCAGGGTGGAGGGCAGGGCAGGCACACACAGCTCAGGCTCTAACTAACCCTGTCCCCTCTCCCCCAGCTTTGAGAGGCTCCTGCTCCACGCCCTCTGCCAGTACATGGATCTCGTCTCTGCCAGTAAGAGCCCCGTGTCTGCTTGGTTTTAGTTTTGATTTTCACTTTGTTGATGTTGTTTTTCCCCTTTGCCTCCATCACTATCTTTTCCTCCCTTCCTCCTCTGGGCCCCGCCTTGCCCTGGGGCTCAGAGATAACCCCACGTCCCTTCTGCTTCTTCCCCAGCAATGCCCTGAGCTCTCTGGGCAGCCCCAGTTGTCACCAAGCTCAGCCAGACCCGGCACTGAGGGCAAATTTGGGTGGTCCAGAGCTAGAATCTGCTCACGGGGTTCCTTCTCCTGCAGCTGCTTCCTCCTCCCAAGGATCAACCGTGCCATTCTGGGCATCCCCAAAGGTTTTGTTGCCAAGGCAGGGATGGAATAAGGCTCCATCCCTCCAGAGGAGGCTCTGCTGTTTCATTAGGAGCCAATTGTGGCAATCAGCCTGTGCACTAATGATGGGGAGAGTGAGCCCCAGGATGGAGGGGACAGAAAACAGAGCAGCCTGTGCCCACCACAAACCCCAGGATGGAAGGGACAGAAAAGAGGAAGCCTGTGCTCACCACAAACCCCAGGATGGAGGGGACAGAAAACAGGGCAGCCTATGCCCACCATGAGCCCCAGGATGGAAGGCACAGAAAACAGGGGAGCCTGTGCCCACCACAAACCCCAGGATGGAAGGCACAGAAAACAGGGGAGCCTGTGCCCACCACAAACCCCAGGGAGAGGAGGGGAAGGGCTGTTGGAGACCCCTGAGAGGATGAGCAGGCTTGTGCTGACCTCTCCATCCCACCCACAGGCTCGGACATCGAAGGGAAGCGCCAGATGAAAGTGAGCAACAAACACCGCGTGTTCCTGCCCCCGGAGCTGCTGCTCTCAGACTACCTGGGCCAGATGAGCTGATGTTGCCCCCACAGCCCCTCGTGTGTCCTGTGCAGCCTCTCCCGGACCCTCCTCAGCCCTTCCCCTGCTCCCAGGCCGGGCCTTTGTGGCTGTGCTGGCAGCAGGGCACAGGGTGCAGAGCAGGTGCCTCTCGCCCGCCCTGCTGCCAGCACAGCCCTGCTGGAACTGCTCGTGTGTCTATTTATAACCCAGGTGTTTTTAAAAAAGAATCAGGCGGGGCCAGCCTCCCTCGGTGGGGTGATGTGGGTCCAGATTTTTCTGCGGTGAAACAGCAGCTCCCGGGCGGCTGCTGAGCAATCG